TCCAAAGGGAGCATTGGGAAAAGTAGGAAGGCGATTGGGACAATATATCTCAAAAGGGGTCTTCCCTAAGGGATTGATTGTTTTGCGATCGATTCGATTAGTGGTGGTTTTGTGAGACAGGGAAATGACAGCGTTATAAAAGGTCGATTCTAATCTCAATGGGTTGTAACATATTTGATAAAAATGCTCGAATCGAGTTATTTGGAGATAGTGGGAGTGTTTACCTTTCTTCGCCTTCGATTTGTCCTGCAACACAAGAGAAGGATGAGCAGTCAGTCTCTGTCAAACCTCATCAAAAATAGCACGATTACTCGAAAACCAATTGGTCCACCATTGAGAAAATTCCACAGTCGATAAGTAGTTTGACTCAAATGCATATGGGTAAAAATGCATCGAGGGTCTTGGCAAAAATTTAGCAAGCTCTCGGCCGATGTTCGAGTCAGTCAACTTGGATTTAGGGAAGGTATTTAAAGGAAAAAAGGGCAAAGACTGGATTAGGCCAAACTGTTTGGAAAAAAGCTGAGGGTAGTAAGTAACGAACTTGAAATCCCTGGGATGGAAACCCGATACTAGTACATCATGGGTCAAATAGCCACTCCATATATCGACCAGTTCTAATTGTAACCCAGGGGTTGAGGCGGGAAATCTTGACTTGAACCAGATCGGTCCCCTAAGTTGGTCACTTACCCGCTCAAAATTTACAGATGAACTGGGCCGAGGTTGAATCGAAAACAAATCTGGTGAATAAAAATTGGAGGTATTTACAATATGTGGCTTCGTCAGATTTATAGCGAGGGTGACGGGAGGATAATCGAGCCCCTTCTATATTTACACTCAGGGGGACAGTAGAATATCGAGGAAGGATGCTCTCAAAAATGGATGTTAACCATAGCTGTATGAACCAAACAGGGCCAGAAAAATTCCCCGATGCCTTAGGAGTACTTAAGATTTCGACAGCCTCGTCGAAAGCGGTATATACATGTGCTAACAAAAGCTTGGCCAAACATAGGCGAGGTTGACCTAAGTGAAGGAGATACGCAAGGTTGAAGAAATGGGGGGAAATTTGGATCGATCGAGGGCAAAACACTTGGGTGCACAGCCAGTACACCAAAAACGCTACATGTTCTTCATCAGTAACATCTATTGAAGGGTCATCAACGAAATGTTTCTCAATAAAATGCCCGTAGGCCTTCGATTCCCAATCGAGTTTAGACTTCAACAAATTATCCGAGGGACATGCACCCTGAAAGTATCTCTCCCCTATAGGTTTTAACCCAGTGATGGCTGCAACATCGAGAAGAGTAGGTGAGAGGGGACCGCAAGGTAATTCCAACGCATGTATCTCTTTATTCCACAAGTGCACGGCAGCCAGGAACATAGCCATGTCGAGGTAGGATAGGTCACATTGAGACAAGTGTAGAAAATCAAAAATCCCCACGTTCCTCCAATGGTTCCCGAATTTCGCCTTGACCCTATCAAACCATCTAGTGAACAAAGATTTTTTGGAGGGAGGGCCTGTCCTATACACCTTGGAAACAAAGTTCAAAAAGTCGATCCTAACTTCGGCCGATGAACGAGAGCAGGGTCAGTTTGAGAGGGCGAGGGAGAAACGGTTCCACTACCGTAAAGAATAGGGCCCCCAAAACCAAAACCAACCCCACCAACAAGTGTAAGGAACTAATACCCGAGTTTCAAGCAATCCTTTTGGAGGCCTCCTCCATCGGAGGCAAGGGAGCAAGCCGTCGGTTGTTAATCTCCAGCAAGGTAGAAGCGGATGAGGTAAGAGGAGGAGCCGAGAAATCAGATGACTTGGATGAAGAGGCCATTATAGTAAGGTTAGAGAAGTAGTAAGGAAGAAGTTGACAGGTAAGGTAACAGAGACGAAGGCAAGAGCTCAGGGAAGAAGACAAGATTGCAAAAGAGGATAAAAGTTCGCGTAAAGCCAAAGTAAAGATAGGTTGAGAGGTTAAGGGGAAATCGTATAGGGAGATGGAACGACGGAGGTGAAAGGTAATAAATGCAGCGTACTGCGAAAGCAGCAGACTGATATGATGGCGACGTAAAGAGGGAAAGAAACCTAAAACCCCTCTTAACCTAGAACCCCAGAAACCCTAAACCCTAAACTTTGTGGGCTTTCAAACACTAAGGCGGGAATATTGAAAGAATATAAAACAGAAATCATTTATATTCTTCCAAGGGGGCATTTTGTTAGTGGCAAACCGAGAAAAGCGATCGAAATCAAAGGGGAGAAATATGACTCGATAAGATAAACAAAGGTTCATTCGATGTCTAATTAGAAATACGTAGCATATAGCATCGAGAAACATAATCGAGAATCGAATGAATTATAATCAAATGACTGTTGTCGAATAAAAACTAAGTCATATAAGACCAGGGTTAGAAAGGAATCGTGAGCAATTCGAAGTTCTCGAAAAATACAGAATCGAGAGTAAAGAAAGCCAATGTGGACATCGAGATTTTGGCCAAATCGTGAAGGGAAGTAAGTCGAATGCACGTATAGAGAGCATTTTTGAAATCATGGAAAAAAGTCGGAGATCGTGAGAACGTGGGAAACTATAGAAGATAAACTGCCATACGCACGTAGAACGTGGTAGCAGTCGCGTTAACTGCTATTGGAAGGCTTGAAGGATGCCCTATAAATAGAGCAAAGGAGAACGGAGGGGGAGAGCAGAAATTGGCAGAGAACAGGATCAGTAGTGAAAAGTCTACCGGAGAAACGACGAACACCATGAAGCTTCTGGCAGTCTGGATTTCCTTGCTCACTGAGTACATTTATCGCTTTCTGTATTTTCCTTGGTAATTTACTTTGATGCAACTTAAATTCAATAGTTTTATGTTTCTGTATTTCGATCCCTTGTCCATTTCAATTCAATGAAAATTTGAGTTTCTGCATTTAGATTTCCTGTTATTTAACATTCTGCAAATCTCAATTTCCTGTCATTTACTTTTCTTGCAATCTCGATTTCTTGTCATTTATATGAGTTGTTTTCGATTTCTCGCATTTTACATTTCTTCGCAATTTAATATTCTGCTTTTCGATTCGATAGTCTTAATGTTTTCGATACTTTAAATACAAAACACCAAAAACAACATTTTCGATATCCTAAAGTTTTTTATTCTCATACACGTTTTCGATTGAAAATCAAATTGTTAGCCTAAGTAAAAAGAGCTTACGTGGTAGAATTTTGATTAGGACCAAAACACCCTTAGAATCGAAATCGATCGAAATTCCACCAGAAACACTGTGATATATTTTTTTCATTATCGCCATAATGATGTTTTTAACGTAGAAAAAAAATATAAAACTTTTATCACTAAATAATCGACATAATGTTAAATTCATTATTTAAAAATTAAATATTTTGTCCCCTTAAAAACACTGAAAATGAACTAGAATAATGAAAATATTTTAGTACAATAAGTAACGTGTCATGTAAATGATGAAAATTAATATATTCGAATAATATATAAAATTAATAACTATTATTATTATTATTATAATAAGTATCGAGATATTTTATTCTTACACTAATGATGATGAAATTAAAGGAATAAAAAAATACAGAATAATTGATGGGAATTGGGAGCAATGATTGCTGCGCAACGCGGGTGATTCGCGGTGCCGCGTACAAAACAAACTCATCGAACTGCACAAACAGCTTGCACACCGCCACTGCACACACCTTCTAAAGTCTATTTTAATATATTACCAAAAAATAAAAAACACATTAAAGTATAAGAAATCAGTATACTTTAGTCAAAGTTTGAGTAAAAGTTACGAAAACTATTAATAATTATTTAAAAAAAAGACTTTTGTTATTTTCATATATCTATTTATTAAATTATTTTAATACCATTATCTTTCCACTTTTCCCGACATCACTCGTAGAAAGCATCACAAACAACTCAAACCACCAAAATATTGGAGAACGAGAAAACTACTAAAGAATAAATGTCGATTCACGTTGCAAACAATAACAAGTGACGTTTGATAATCAAATCAATTTAAAATGTGTTGAGAAAAAAAGAGGTATAGGGTTGGCAATGGCCTATGAAGAGGTTTAAACTGTGCTGTGAAATTTACATACATTAAAATGAAGGAGTATCGTGGTGGAGAAGGAAATGGGAGATGCGAAGTAGAATACACGGAAAGTTGGCTTTAAGAATTTTGTACACACATTTTGTTCTCATTCTCACCAGAAACAAAACAACATTATGTTTAGGAGTTGTTTGGGTTCATAAAACTTAAATCAATCTCTTATGGATTATTTATAATATATCCATTTGCTGTTATTCATTATCCACTATTCATCACTTCATATTTTTGAACAAAAGTCAAGAAATTTGACGATTCTCCTAAATAAAGATATATATAAAAAGACCTTCATAATTAGTTTTTTTTTTAATTTTGTTTCCTAAAAAGAGGGAAGATATATAGACCTACTTAGAAATATATCATACTAAGCTAAAACTATAAGTACTTTAATCAACTATAATTCTGGTGTGATAAATTTGTAACCAAGCCTTGTTGTACTCAAAGTTTTAATTTCGCACGCCTCAAAACTGAATTTAAATTATTATATTATTTTAGATAATGTTAGTTTTTCAAAATATCAATTATCCAATTAACCTTCTAATCTGGCTATACAATTTTTTTCTTTTAAGTTTATTATAAACACAAAGCAAAACATTATATTAAAAAAAAAAAGATTTTAATTTCTCTCTCCTTGTACCTGCCAAGTACGCTTACCTGTACCTCTAAAATTTCTCACTCTTCTCATCATCACCATTCATTCACAATCACACCATTTACTCCGCGCACACACAACACGGCCTTCTCTCTCTCTCTCTATAAATTCCACGCTCACATCCACTTCACACCCACCACGATTCTCGTTTTCCAAACCACAATTCTCATACTTTGCTTCTCTTCACTCTCTCCAGATCAAACCTTTCTCTCTCTAAATCTGGCTCAGAAAATGAAGCAGCTGATTCGCAAGCTCTCGCGCGTCGGCCACTCCTCGCAGTACACGCTCCTCCGTTCCGAGTCACGGCGTGCGGTGTCGCTCCGCCGAAACCGGGATGTGGAGGTGCCGGTGGGGCACGTACCGGTGTACGTGGGAGAGGAGATGGAGCGGTTCGAGGTGAGCGCGGAGCTGCTGAACCACCCGGTTTTCGTGAAGCTCCTGAACCGGTCCGCGCAGGTGTACGGGTACGCGCAGAAGGGGGTGCTCCGGATACCCTGCCACGTCATCGTCTTCCAGCGAGTCCTCGAAGCGCTTCAACTCGGTCACCACTCGCTCCAAGACATCCACGACCTCCTCACCTCCTCTTTCCAAGACTTCTCCTAGAATCATCCGTTTCTAGTTTTTTCTCTTCTTGTAAATATACAGTGCCATTTTTGAAAAAGAAAAGGGACGATTTTTATCTTCTATTTCTCAAAGGAGATTTGGTTAGGTTGTGCTCTAGGCTTAATTAAGCGATGGGATATGATACAATTTTTTAATCAAATTCCTGATCGCATCATATACATACTTCACTGTTCTTTGAGTATAGCAAATTGTTTATTAAAATTTAAACAATAGAGCAATAAAAATAAGGAACTAAATAAAAATGACATAATTTGATTGATAAAAAAAAGGATAAGAGTACTATTTTTTGTTTTATTATTATTATAAAAAATTGTCATAAACAATCCTATTAGGACTATAAATAGGGTATGTTGTTGATTATAATATAACTTTAAAAGTATAGTCATTAAGTGAAAAAAATAGAAAAAAAATTGTTGATTAAACTATATATATATATATATATATATATATATATATATATACTTATTATTACAAAAAAATATTATGGTTACTTATATCATGATAAATTATTTTTAAAAAACGTAACAAATTTATCATCCAACTTGTTATGCATTTCTTCCTGTAGGTATCATTTATTTTTCTAATTAATGTTTTCATTTTTTCAAATAATATAAGAGAAAATAATAGTGAAAATTTTAATATTATTTATTTTTTTATAATTGTTTTTCAAAAAACAGATACACTTTTTTTCAACACTTCATTTTCTAGTAATTGAATATAAACTTAATTAAATTTCTTTTGATATTAGTATTGTAATAATCTAAACAAAAAGTAAAATTAGGTTTGAATATATTACAAAATTGATAATAGGTTCATTTTTTTCGATAATTTTAATTTTTAAATTGTTAATTATATCTAATATTGGTATATTTACATTTTTATTTCCAATTATTGGTAACTTTATTTGATTTTCAGTTTATTTTTCCTTAATTATATTCTGTTATTTTGAACATTATCTTTTGAGATAAAAAATTATGATATTCATGTTTTTAAAAATAGTAATAAAAAACTAAGAGTTAAATTGTGAAAAAAAGTACCAAAAGTGTGATTTTTAAACAATATTGAATAATCGGTTTGTCTAACTTGTTGCTTTTGTTTTTTTCGAAGAATAATCGGAAGACAGAAAATGTACGGACGGTTTCGCAACATGTCAGAATTCGTGCCGTTTGGAAAGAAGCCAGACTTTTTTAATTATTATTATTATTATTTATTCAAATTAATTGAATAAATAACTCATTCGGTGCAAGTGAGTGAGTCACAACTCTTATGTTGATGTTTCACTAAAACTAATTAAATTTTTTATTAACATTAAATTTAGGCTGAATGTCTAATTCATTATCCAACCATATAAAACATTATTACTATAGTATCTAAAATTAATGAAAATATATTTTTTTCATATTGAATTCATAAATAGTTTTCTATTATAATAATATTATCATATTTCAACAACAACAAAAATAATATTGTGCTATTATTATCTGTAACAGAATTTCGTGTACAAACATTTTTTTTTAAGAAATGCTATTTCCGCTTAATTTGCATGGCATTTTACGTAAATAAGATAAATAGACAAGTAAATAACAAAGGAAAATGTGTAATAAAATCAGTGATGCAATAGAAAATAAAAAACAATAAAAATAATATAACTTAATATAGCAAAATAATTTACGTGTGAAAAAGACTGTGTATTATTGCACAATAGTAGTGACAATTTGATTTGAACTTACATCCTACTAGAACATCCCAAGATTATATACAACATTATCATGAAAATCTCTTATTTAATTTATTAGTGCTTATTTATTTTGTAATAAGATTTTAGGTTTAAATTTGGTCATGTTCATTATTTAAGTAAGAATTTTTGTTAAAACAACATTTGAACCTAAAACTTAATTGTATTTTTCAATGAATATCTACAATTAAGATTAGTTTTATACCATACAGTAATTACGTTAAACAATTTAAGATTACTTTGTTAAAATATAAACACTCAACTTAAATAATTAAAAATTTAATATCTTAGTTTAATTACTTTTTTATTATTGTAGTTACACTTTTTTTTTAATTCATATACATTTTTTTTCAAGTTATTCCTACGCGTATATTTTTTCCAATCCTTTTTAATTTTTGTTATTGAGACTAAAAATAATCAAAATTATGAGTAAAAATAAAATGGATTAAAAATTATACGTGTTTGAATCAATTATAGGAGCATGTAGTAAATTAATCTTCTTTCATCTTATGTTATGATCACGGTACATACAAGTATCTTAATGTTCCTTTTCAAAGACATTCCCAATAATTCAAATTACAATCCACCATTTCCACGACGTTTTTTTTTATAGGATAAAAAATAACTATATCAATTTTATTATTCAATGAAAACAAAATATACACATGAATCTATCACTAAAACAAATAACGAGTTTGGGTCAACAAATTAATTTGTAATTTTTTATATAATTTTTCTAATTGTAAAACTAACTCGTGTATGTGTTAATTTATATATATAAAAAAATTCATATACTTTTTCAAATACCTTTAATACATAAGTTAATTTTGAGTACCTAAACTTCTTGATGTGGGCCAATATACATGATTAATGCCGTGAATGAATGAACGCATATGTAAATTAGGTTAATCATAGTCTACATAGTACAGCTATATATAATATAAAAGAAAAATAAAATGAATCCACGTATTTGAATATTTCACGATTTGGGAACTATTTATAGCACAAATGTTGTCTCAAATACTTCATCTTTCTAGTTCAATTATAGATCAGACTCAGAAGATGCATAGCATTCATTAACCAGTTTAAAAACTTCAAATGAATTATTAACTTGGATTCAATGCATTAACTTGTGTCAAAATTTTGGACTAAACTTTGTTGTTATTGAGTTGTATTAATAGTGACTTGATTATGAAATAGTAATGACCAAGACCCGGAATAGTAAGTAATATTTCACATTGCTGTCACGTTTTTGTGAAGTTAAACTGAAGTTAGGTGTTGGAATTTTTCTATGGGTTTCTATGAATAGAGTATACAATACAAGAAAGGTGTACATATGTCAAACATTATTGGCTAGAAATTGGAGTGTTTGGTATACAAAACAGTTGCAGAAGTGCCAAGATTATTTGCATGATTTGACGTAAACCCTAAACCTATTATGATTCATTATTGTATTTTTTTTATTAAGAAGAAAACATCTTTTGATAAAAATAGGTTGACAAATTTAGGTTGATAAAAAAATATTATTATTATATTATATAAATAAATATTATTGGTTGAATGAAAATAATGTATATTAAAAAATTTCACTTCAATAATCAATAAATCAGGAGATAATAATTATATAATCAATTTAAAATTTATTATGTTTTGACAGTTAAAAACAATTTAAATTTATTTTTTTATATTTTTGTAATAAAGTATTAAGAGATTTAATTTAAATTTTTTATTTTTTATTTATAGAATAATTTGTTTGTTCGATGTTTTTTGATTTTTTTTTCCCTCAAATACATGTATTTTTGTGTTAACCTTATTTTAGATGACAAAATTTTTAACCTAGGATTAAAATTTTGAGAAGTGATCAAAACCCTATAGGTGATTTAGGTTTTTATTCATTACAAACAAACATTTTTAATAATGTCGGAATGAATATTTCTACAAATATTTATTTAAAATATTATTGTTTATTTACTTATTCACTTTAATAAAATACTTTAAATATATTTTTTATTATTTTTACACATGTAATAATTTTAAAATTATAAAATAAAAATTATAATTGTAAAATAATTCGTTTTTTCATAAAAGAAAGAGTGACACGTAAAAAAAATTAGTATTTCATAAATACTAATAATAATGTAATTTTTATTTCATTTCTTGCTTTTAAACATTTAAAAAAAATAATAAAAAAGAAATCAAATTATTGTATTGTATTTAGCAATAGAAATAAAATAAAATTTATAAACTTGAAACTTATTTTCCATTGGAAGATTTGTTGACAAAATTGAAGTTTTTGTACACAATTCTTCCTACTCGTCACAATTTCAATATGTTCCAAACGAAACGAATAATTAATAATATTCAGGGTTTCATTCTATAGTGCTGTTGAATAGACGTGAGACAGTGGCCTAGAAGATGGTGGCATTATTTTTCTTTTTCTTTGACAAAGTGGTGACCTTATTCTATTAAACTTGGTCAAATCGTCTGCTATTTTTCAATTAAAGAATAACTTTTATAACTTCTAATAAAATAAATGAACCAATCATGCTTCTTTCTTTTGTGCATGAAGTGAGGTGCCACTCATGCCTCTTCGGATCATTATCAAAGCTTATCTTATTTTTGACCAGAAAATTACTTCTATTATTATATTTATATGCATATCTATTAATTAGTTGTATTATGTACATGTGAATTACATTCAATATTTACTTACAATTTTTTCTTATAATTTATCTTAATTATTACAAATAAGTTTATCTACTCCAGAATTCAATGCGGAACTTTATTTACTCTCAATTTATCAATTAATTTTCGATTATCATATTATTTATTAATTTTTTTGAGAAAAATTTATTAAAAAATAAGATTAATGAGACATAAATTCAAGAATGACACCATTTTTAACTAAATTTAAAAATTTTAAAACATTAAATTATAAATCATATTTCTTTATATATGTTACTTGAATTTTTCATTTTTATTGATTATAAAACTTAAGATCACATTAGATTCTTAAAATCCATCGTCATCTTATATAAATTTTGAATATGACTCATTGTTTACGATGAATTGGCAATCGGAGGCTGGGGCAGAAAATTGTATTGGATGCCCTTGAATTGCGCCCAATGCACATGGCATTTCTACGTTGAAATAGTATCTGGCACAAGCAAAACCATCACCTTCTCAAATGGGAAAGTCATGTTCATAATCTTTTTCTTCGCTACAACATGCATTGCATAAAACAATTTTTCAACATTCAGTATATTTTCATGAAAGCTGTTTGTCTTTTTCTGTGCATTATTTTCGTTCAACAATGATTGCTGACCCAAAAAAGTAGCCAATTAATGCTCTCTGATACGATTCACATGGCTGCATTTATTTTTCAGCGATATTAATGAAATGTATCATCTTCCCTTCTTGTTCAACACACTACAGATTTGGATGTTTGGTCCTTTCTTCACTTCTCAGTCAACAATATACACAACAGCACAAGATGTTATTTATAGCCAAAATGGGAACACACATGCTAAATTTCTCCTTCGTAGATCCCACATCTGATAGATTTCCTTTTTTCTCGTTGTATATATATATTTGTCAGATCAGTCCTAGTCCAGCAGAGTAAAATTGTCTTTGCAATAACTCTTTCCCTCTTTAAATGTAATGCAGTTTTATATACTTATGACTTGACTAATAATCTGTAGATAAGATTTTCACATTTACTATTACTACTTCATTGATTTCAATAAGTTTTTATAATTCAACCTATGATAATTTTGAAAACTAATTCCACTTCTTAATTTAATTATTGTTTAATACTAAATTAGTTAATAACACCTTAATTAATTTCAATTGAATCTTTATCATGTCTTTATTTAATTTAGATTAGACGATCGTACACTCTTAAAATATTTATAACGGTGGGTTCTTATAAGGAATATTATATTTAAGTAATTTTTTTTAAATTTTATAAATTCACTTAAATGGTAAGTTTTTATAAGCAATTCATCATTTAATTACATTTTTTACTTTAATGGACCTGTTATACTATGTTAGTAATAATTATAATACATAATTAATTATTAAAATAAAATAAATAATATATTTAAATTAAAAAAATTAAAATTAAAATTGACAAAAATACAATTAACATTAATTAAAATACAAAATATTAAACAACAAAAATATACAAACAAATATTAGAACTGCACAAACAAATTGAAAAAACTGAGAAAATTAAAAAAAAAAAACTCTTAAAAATATTGCTTTTCTATAAGATGTGCTACTTAATTTTTCAAAATTATTACTGCCACGGATTGTTCCAATAACCGTAGTCATAAAAAACTCTTTTTAGAATTGTTTTTAACTCACAAATCAAATTTATAAGCAACTCTCGTTAAAGTTAAAATTGCTCTTAACTCACAAATCAAATTTTTAAACTCAAATTAACTAATCCAGAAAAAAAGCAAAGGTGAATTAAATAATATATATACATAAGATGATGCTTTCAACTAACTATCTCGTAAAATAAAAGTGAATAATTAAAATTTGATTGGACTAATCTCATTTTTATCTAAAATTAACTAAATTTTAGGAACCTTAGTTGAAATTTAAATCTAAAATAAAAGTATATATATTCATGATAAGATGCCCAAATTTTTACTCCTTGATTTTTGAGATAAAATGACATTTGGAAAAATATTTTGTTTACAAAAATAGCGTATGACAACTCAACTAATCCAATTTTTTTTAACTAACAACAATTTAAATGTTATTTCTTTCTCATTCTTTATATTTAAAAAAATGTTTCTTGAATAAAATAATAATTGAAATAGATGTGTATTATAGAGTTTTTTTTTCATTAAAAAACCATTTGTTTATAATTGTTGTTTTAAAATGTAATTTTTTTCGATTGTTAAGAGTAAAATGTTATATTTTTAATAAGTGATGTGATATTACGGAACCATCCACATATAACTCTAAATACACTACGAAATTCAATTAATTTTATTTCATATTATAAGCTACTAGCCAAAGTTGACTCAAGATAAAGTGCAATAAAAATTTTGGTACACTAGGAAATGTTCCAACTATAATCTTCAAGTCATTAATGGGGGTTGTTGATTTTATTAAAATAGTGGGAGCATGTTTAATAAAAGTCTTGTTGAAATGAGCATTTTTATTAAAATTTCAAGAATGTTGGTTTCATCTAAATTTACATTGTTTCATTGTTATTTTATTTTTATAGTTTTATAACTATAATATTTCTTGTGCTAATAATTAATTTGATGAATGCTATTAATCAAAATATGTATATGAAAAAAAATTAAAATAGAATAGTAAAGTATCACAGTTGGGCGTTACCAAGCTTTTGAATAGTAAATTGGGCCATGGTTGTATTTTGGGCCTATACTAATAATAAGAATGGGTTTGAGAATACAAATTTATGGGGCTGTAATAGTTTGGGCTTATTTTTTATAAAAAAAAAAGCAGAACAAATAATTATAGGATTCACTCACGAAATCTTCCCATTTCATCATACTTAATCTACTATAAATAAATTAAATTGAATAAAATATGTTTTTAATATAATAACTATGATAAAATTTTGTTTTCAATACATATTTACGTGTTTTTTGTTTCTTCTCAAAATGAGAGTACGTAAGGAACATATGCCCAATTTTCTTCACTTTTGTTGTTAATAATGAGAGTACAGAAGAGCTAGTTCCTAACATATATGATGACCCATAGGAGGGTCCAAATCTTACCAGCACTGCACTTGAGGAAAGACCTAGAAGGAAGACACATCAACCCTAACGTCTAAATGATTATGTGGTGACAATTCCAAACAATCGCAAGAAAGAGAATTTTGTTATGCCTAAATGATTAGGGAGGAATTTTATAGTTATATGTATTTTGTCTTTTTCTTACATGCCATGCGAATAGCAAGACAAGGTATTCCATATATTTTGGTTGTTAATGAAAGAGGGGATAAAAGATTATTCAGTGAAAATACTTTCTCTCTGCTTTATTCTACTTTTCTCTACAACTTTCTTTCATTCTTCTGATAAGTACCTTTCATTTGGTGCTCTCGTTGTCCTTACTCCCCTCATGGCAACATTCTTATCACACTCTGAAGAATTTGCCAAATTACACAAACAACTAGAATAAATCATTTTGTCCCTAAGCCAACTTTGGCAATACCCTTCATGACATTTCCTCACGTCCCGTGAAATTCGAGCTCCCCACCTTTGATGACCCTAATGCTCTAGGTTGGATCTTCATAGTCACTCAATTCTTTGACTACCACCAAACCCCACCTGAGCAATGCATCCATAACTCATCTTTCTACCTTGAAGGCCCTGTCTTAGTGACAAATCTTCTTGGGAGCTGAGAAGGGTCGTGACCCCCCAAAGTTTTGTAACTTCCATGTAATTTATAATTTTGGTCCCCTCAAACTTAATGATCATTTAATATATTTACTTGTATATTTACAATTTTATCCTCTCATCACTCTAACTCTTATATAATTTATGATTTTGTCCCCTCAAACTTAATGATCATTTAATATATTTATTTATACATTTATAATTTTATCCTCTTACCTTTTCATCTTCTTTCACCCTTTTATATTTATTTATTATTTATTAATAATATATTATTTATCCCTCCTAAAATCAATGTTCAATATCCACCTCTGCCCTGCCTCTCATGGATTCGGTGGATGTCTAACAATGGGCTCCTTACCTCATGGGAAGCTTTCCTCCGTGCCTTGGAACTCTGCTTTGCTCCTTCCAAGTTTAAAGACCCCATTGCCTCTATATGTAAGCTCTCCCAAACCCAGGGCCTCCAAGAGTACCTCTTTGAGTTTGAGACACTTGCAAACCTCATCTCCAACTTTCTTCCTAACTTCTGTCTTTAGTTGCTTTATTTCGAGCCTCCTTCCTAACCTTCGTCGTGAGGTTGTTGCTCTCCAACTTACCGACCTTCCCCATGCCATAACTTTGGCTAAACTTCAAGAAGAAAAACACCGCTCCACTCCCTTACAACCCAAATGCTTCTTCAGACCACCGTCACAACCTTCATCTCCATCCACACCACCCCCACCCAAACCCCTTCCTCCTCTTTTACCCTCCCCCCTCCCCACAAGGCTTCTAGTTAAGCGATTAACCGAGGCTAAGATGCAAGCTCATCGGGATAAGAATCTTTGCTTCAACTGTGACGAGAGATACACTCGCGATCACCGTTGTAAGCCCCAATTTTTGCTCCTTTCCACTTTTGACACCAATGACTCCCCAGATGAATTTGTTCCTGTTGACACCACGTCCAAAACACCATCGAAACCAGAGGCTAGCATGATCAGTCTCCACGCCTTCTCTGGGCAGTGGACACCAAGAGCTTTCCAGGTCACTAGAGCTATCAACGGGTTAAATATTTAAATTCTCGTGGATAGTGGGGCAACCCACAACTTTATCCAAACTCGTGTGGCCCAATTCTTGCAGTTGCCTCTCCAGTCCACTCTAAGTCTATTAAGAGTAATGGTTGGCAATGGAGATTTTTTACCATGCTCTAATTTTTGTCTTAATGTTACATTACATTTAGTTGCCTCTCCAGTCCACTCTAAGTCTATTAAGAGTAATGGTTGGCAATGGAGATTTTTTACCATGCTCTAATTTTTGTCTTAATGTTACATTACATTTAGCCCAAAATCAATTCCCTATTGAGTTATATCCTTTGGAACGTTTGAGCATCGATGTGGTTCTTGGAGTGCATTGACTAGCACTTATAGTCCTTATGTGATGGACTATGTCGCCGCCGTCAGAAGAGGCGATCGGAGCGACACAATGGTTTTGGTTGACTCGCATTTTCTTATAAAGATGGTCGACATTCTTAAGATTCCCGATAACCGGACTAATCTTAAGGATGAAGTTTACGAAAAATGTTCTATGGATTCGCCACTAGTGTTTTAACCTTAAACACTGAAAACGGTAACAAGACATTGGTTTTAGAAAAAACCAACTTTGGCCATTACAACCAGACTCGGGTAAGGGAATTAGTTATATGTGGGGAAGGTGTTAGCACTCCACAACACCCTTTTCGGGTTCCCTATGATGGACTAGTTTATAAAATAAAGACTAAAAAACTATGCTTTTACCCTATTTATTTATCTATTTGCAGAATTTAAATGTCTACATGACCCTAATATCTAATGCATACAAGGAAAGTAGTAAAAGAAAATAGTAAAAGAGAAGAGATATGAAGGAGAGCCTCCGAAGCGAGCTTTTATAAATCTCGAACTTGAAGATGCTTTTTGGCAATCCCTGCACTCTACAGAGTCACTCCTCCCTCGAACAAAAAATAAGAGTATCACCCTACTGAGGGCTGGACTTCTCAAAATGAGACTTCCTTAACCGATTTCTACCTTAAACGGAAATCAGAAAGCTCACTCGAACTCTGGAATAATGCTCAAAGTCACTCTAAAGTGCCAAAAGGCTTCCTAGAGAGTGTAGGAGTGGAGCGGTGTGTAAAATTCGACAAATGGGGCTCCTATTTATAGGGAACCGCACCAAGAAAAAGTGGACGACCGACTGGACTTAGTGGACGACTGTCCATGTAGGGTGGATGGTCTTCCAGAGCAAAAAGTTGTCATGGACGGCCGTCTGAGCCAAGTGGACAGCCGTGCATTGCCTTAAAGTATGCATGAACACCCGTCTGACTGTCCTGGATGACCATATGCTATTTTTGATGAAATTTCTGATTTTTATTGCCTCTGAAAACCCTTCCTATCTTAAATGGAACCTAGAAAAAGTTACTAGGGACTTAACAAAGTCTTGACCATCTTCGAAATGGGTTATCTTTGGCTTTATTGGGGAGTCAGACAAGATTTGGGGTCTACAGTTGCGCCCCCTTCACCCGACCAATTGACTATGGGTTAACGTACAATAAGGTCGATTGGCGGGTGAAGGAGTTAACTCTCTTGCCCGGTTGTCCTCTAGATGCTCCTCTTGTCGTGGGAGCTGACCCTCGGGACTATGAATGTAGTATGTTGTTGTCTTCAGGATGCTTCCTTACTGCGGAGACTGACCCTTCAAACGGTTAAAATGGGTTGTGTCCCCCAGATACCCCTTTACAACGGGGCTTGATCCTTCGGATGATGTACGACGGACTGTGTCTTTCGGATACTCCTTTGCAATGGAACTGATCCTTTGGACGATGTGTAGGACTCTATCTTCCGGATGCCCCTTTGCTGAGGTGGCTGATCCTTCTAACAGAGAAGGTGGTGGCGGCTTACTGCTCTAGCTCATGCGCCGATATTTGTCTTCAGAACACTCCTTTGCAATAGAGTTAGTCCTTCAGACGATGTATGTGGTGACGACTTACTGCTCTTGCTCATGTGCTGATATTTGTCTTCAGGACACTCCCTTGCAACGGAGCTGGTCTTTCGGATGATGTATATGGTGGCGACTTACTGCTCTTGCTCATGCGCCGACTCCATGGGGGAGTAATTGTGTTTTGACTTTTTTGTGGTTATCTGGTGTGCTGGGGATTCTTGGTGAATGCCTCTTAGGTAGGCAGGAATCCATTGGATATTTGTTGATCTAGGCAATGCCTCTTGAATAGGCGGATATCCATTGAGGATTTGTTGATTTTGATGGTGCCTCTAAGCAGGAATATATTTCGTTGAGGTTCCGGTAATGCCTCTGAGTAGGCAGATGCTTCATTGGAAGTTAAGACTTTTGGCTACATTGTTTCGCCTCTAAATATGTTGATGTTCCACTTGAGGATGTTGGCTCTTAGCTGCCAGGTCTTGCCGTAGGCTAACGACTCTGAGGATGTGAGTTTTGAAGGTTGCCTTTGTAGTAGACTCACTGGGGATGTGTTTCTATTTTTTTGGTGATCCACTGGGGCATTATTTGTTTCCTTAGGGATCTGATTTTAGTAGCCCTCTAGGGGATGGAGTCTTGACTCTTTGATTGAGGTCGGTGAGAGCTGGCTTTGTGAATCTCTTATTCCGCTGAGGGAATGAGATTTCTGATTCCTTAGTTTGGATGCTTTATTTTAAGGTGACCCACTTGGGGATTGATTTGATTACCTAAAAGTTAGGATTTTTATTCAATTTTGCCTTTATCCGCGATTTTATCTCTTTTTCTCGCGATTTTGAAATTTGGCTTCTTTGTGGGGATAATGCGTGTCTTTTTATTTTTAGTTTCTTTTATGCACGCAAGCCTTTTCTTCTTTTTGGGAATCCGTAGGGGATAAAGTTTTTTCTCTTTTTGGTGCTCCACTAGGGAATTATTTTACGTCCTAGGGATCAAAACTTGGTTTTTCTTTCTTGGGGATGAAGTCTTGACTCCTTGATTGATGTTGATGCGAGTTGTCCTTGTGAAACTC